CAACAGATGACTCTAATAAATGCTATCTGGACCACATGGAAGAGAAAGTTTCAGGCATTTTTTCTACCATACCTTCGGTGGGCTTACCTCTTTGTAATTTATTGGTTTTTTCTTAGACTTTGCTTTATATGAGGCTGTATCAAGTCATAATTTATAGTTGTAGAAACCTGTTTAACAACACCCATGGTAAGGCATAAAATATGCCTTAATACTAGTAAATTTTAAATACATCATGCTAACATGGGATGACATTGGTTGCCTTTATTTAAAGTAGAAAAGTCCTCTCTCAGGTATCACATTGTGAATTTTGCAGTGTAACCAAATAATAAAAGAGGAGAAGGAGAATGGAAACACGGAGGACGTAGATAAGGTACAGTATGTGATGAGTGAAGAACAGTAAGAATTACAGGGGAACAGCACTGAAGGTGACCACATTGAGGGGACAGCATTCAAGTGACTCCCACTGTATTGTGACCTCCAATAGCCAAAACCATGTCTTATTTATCTTTGCATTTCTTGTACCCAGTGAAGAACCTTGCATGGGGACTAGAAAACTCACTGTTGATTGAATAAAATTCCTTCTTTGAAAGTCAGGTGCTTATCTTGGTTTGACCTTTTTTCCTAGCTGAGGAAGGCCTTCACAGGGGCAGATGATCTCTTCAGGATCCATTCAACCTTAGATTCTCCTTATGTCTTGTTTGGGGCTGTTCCACTTTATGAAGGCTTAATATGGCATTACATCAGCAGCACTGACTCAGAGCTTGCACCTGCAGAATTCAAGGGTTAGGTAGGGAGGAGGCAGAGAAACAGCTGAGAAATGATGACTGTCCTCAGTGAAAGAACGAGAAAATGCTCTTGCTTTGCTCTCTAGTGTGGGTAGGACTATGAGCCCTTCTTTGGTGAAGTCATCATTTCTGTGGTATATTCAGAGTGTGTGGTATTGCTCGATGTCTCTTCCAAATATGTGTTGATTGGCAGAAAGTGAAATGATTTCATTAGATCTATAGTCGGTCATTATTAGTTGTAGCTTTGCAGTAACATCCACATACCTGATTAAAATCCAGGAAAATTGAAAATTAAAAAAGAAATTCAGGGATCAAAATGTCACACATCAACACTTGTGTAGTAATCTGAACAGAGGCGGTGTTTGAAATGGGCTATGGAGACTCTGACTGTGCACCTGGCTACCTGCTTTAGGTGTGGCTTTGGTTCTGAGGGAGAGCAATGAGAAGGAAGGAACCACTGTGTTGGCATGGATCTCCTCAGGCAGCTTTCTAAGTCCCTTCTTTTTACCCATTTGTGTAGTCAGAAAAAGGTTTCTAACTCTGGCTCTTCATCTTTCACCTAAGTGCATTTCCTCCAAATTTATTTCTGATTTGGGTCATTAATAATTGCTTATTTTAGAACAACTTACCTTTGTTACAAAACCTGAGGATTAATGAGTACTGTGCATGAGTGTGGGCTTTATTACTGTGGTTGGAACAAATTCAAATAAGTCATAGTTCTTCTCTGAGTGTGCAGATTGCAGGCAATTCACTCTTAGTATCTTACTAATATGTGCCCTTTAAATCACGATCCTAATCAATATCAGAGATCAGATATTCCATTGCAAAAACAAGGCAGATTCAGTTCAATAATATTCTATTGCGTTTCTGTTGTGTGTTTCATAATTCATTCTAAAACATATTTTAAAGATAACCAGGAGGATTCATTATCTCTGTAAAATACACACACACAAATGCAACAGATGCATGACGCACACAGCAAAGGACACATAATAATTATAATATACATTCTTCCCAGGATAGTTGGTCAGGATATTCCTAAAAATAATGTGGTACACCATGTCAGAATGAATGAGAATCGCCCCTTGTATATTAAGACCACACACTCTGTATATCTTTTACGTCACTAAGATATCACCCCGTATTTACTTTTGTTGAATAAAAAACTATTTGAAGGAGTTTCCCCCTCCTTTACTTTATGATAAATTCTCTGACTTTTTACTGGAAGCTCTTCAAAGGAGTACTGAATGGCTTGGAAAGAACTCAAAAATGGCGTTAGTTTACAATGGGCACTAGATTAGAGAGTAAACTTTATTTAATATAAATAAATAGATTTTAAAACTTGTTTCACATATAAGCTTATCAACAGACACTATCTCAGTTCCCCAAATCCTACATCTAGGGAGGCTTGCAGAGATAATATTCAGGGATATCCATCACAGGTTTATTTATGATAGCAAAAAGTTGGACAGCCTAAACACCCAACACATGGGGACATTTAATGAATGATGGTGTAGCTACTAAAAGGAATTCCTACAGCCAATTATATTTTGAAAAATATATTTATTAGATTACATCCGTGATAAAAATCCAAATATGAACCTTCCTCCCCCAACACACACACACACATTGACAAACAGAAAAACAAAGATGGAAGAAAAATACAACTTGAGAAGAGTGGATATCTCTGGCTAGTGGGGAATAGGTGATAAATAAATATTGATTCCTTCTTTATCTTTCTCTGAATTCTCCAAGATGTATTGATCTCATAATTATAAAATTAAAAAATATTAAGATGATCCATTCCCAATCCATGTCAAGTTTCTGCCTGCTGTCCATGTTGTCTTCTGGGACTGTTAACTTTTTAATATAGAGGAGCATGGGAGTGGTGTACTAAACTGAAATAGCTCCTGTCCTACAAAGTACCAAACATGTTAATTAAATGGCTTTTCTTGGAAGAAAAGAAGTGAAAAGAGATGTGAATTAAATGAATGAATTGCATGAGATGTAAATTATATCTCAATTTGTTGTTATTAGTGCTATGGAGTCAATTCCGACTCCTAGCGACCCTGTGTACAGCAGAGTGGAACCCTGCCTGGTCGTTCTGCACCATTCTCTTGCCTTCTGATGTTATATCAGACAATGCTCTGCTACTATTCATAGGGTTTTCATGGCCAATTTTTTTCGGAAGTGGGTGGCCAAGTCATTCTTCATAGTCTCTCTCGGTCTAGAACACTGAAACCTGTCCACCATGAGTGAGCCTCTGAAATATTTGAAATACCAGTGGCTTAGCTCTCCGTATTACAGCAACACGCAACCACCACAGAGGGGTGGTGTGGTTCCCTGACTGAGAAATGAACCCCTGCCACATGGTTAGAGCACCAAATCTTAACCACTAGGCCACCAGGGCTGGCTATATCTCAGTAAAGATTACAAAAAAAAAGAGAGAGATGGAAAACTGAAAGACCTAGGGATGCTCAATTTTGGCTTTTAAATTCACTTCCAAATATATAGAGTAAAGAAGTCATCTAGTTTTCAATTAGCACCAAGAAGGAGTGGAGCAAGCATATGAAGGAAATAGGTAGGAACGGAAAACCTGTACCTGCTCTCATTTGCATTCCTGACTCCTACCTTTGCCATTCTGTCTTGAACATCCCTTGCTGCCGAAGCTCTTTCCTCTTGCCTCGAGCCCCTAGAGCTATCCAGATGTCATTAATACCTTGTAATGCTGAGGTCAACTGAGGACAAATCCAGATTTTAACTGAAGCAGGCTTTATATTAAATAGGGCCACATCCATTTTTTTGCCCCTATATAAATATTTTAAACCTTAGAAAAACCCATATAGTTTCAAATTTATCTGATTCATCTCCTGCACTAGCTAATCCTTGATATATAAGGACTAGCTTATATATCAAAATAACTTATATATCAAAATAGCTTATATACCAAAAATATATAAGAACATTAAAATTTTTTCCTATATGATTAAATAACATATTCTCATATTTATGAGTATCATGGGATATTATTTTTGAAAATGTGATAGTTGTTATCAAACAGATTTTAAAATAATCTTTGAATAGAGAGTTTCAGTATAGGCTTTTCATCATTTTATTTATTTAAATATCAGTGTTCATAATGTTTGTTATAATAATGACTCATATTTATTGAGCATTTCTGAAACATCATCTTATTTAAACCTCATAACACCCTTATGAGGTCAGTAAGGTTATTATCCTTATATTATAGATGCAAAATATTGAGGCTTAAAGTGAATTGATTTGTCCCTGGTCATGTAATGAAGTGGTTGAACCAGGACTAGAAAACCCCTGATCTTGATTCATCATTCTGCTTTTGGGTTTTGCTGCCATGATTTTGGAAAGTGCCATGTGCTTGTATTTTCCTTGTTTATTTGCTTTATCTTAAGTGACAATGTTATAATAATTGAAGAAGCAGGCATCAGGCATGCATAACTCTTTCTCAAGAATTTATAGTTATGTTGGTCACACTTCGTATTTTATTAGTAACACTTCTTAATAGAACCAAAGGGGCATATTTATGGAAGACGAAAAATTAGCATGCATTTAAATTTGCAAAGCTTTCAGAGTTGTGACTACAATTCTGTAACTCTCTGCCAATAAATAACATTTCACATTCCGATATTCAAATAGCAAAAAAGTTGGCATTTTCCTAAGCTGAGTAGAGTATTACTACATCTTTACTTCCAGTTCTGCTTTTACAAAACACAGCCTGCCATATGTGTCCCTTTCATAGTGTGTGGCGATGATGAAGAGCATGCTCACAGAGTGATGCTGACATTCTTTAGGAATCAATAAGCTGCTGAAAGGGGCAAAAATTATGCTTTCATCTCCATTCCGTTTTGTCATAGACTCATATTTGTTTCTAGCAAAATATGTGCTTCAACTGGAAAAATTAAGCTCCTGGTAGCTTTTTTATATGACTTTTATGACCAAGGAATTAATTTATAAATCAATCAAAATCTTTTTTTTTACCTCTTTTTGTTCTTGCATATTCATTAAATGGTTTCTCACCATCAAATGTGCCTTGTTAGAGATTCTGGCCTGTGACTCTGGGTGGAAACTAGTTGGTGCACCACTCATCCTAGATTATTTAGGTCAAGGAAAGTCTCCCCCTTCCTTTCCCACCAAAGAGACAAAAATAACAACTCGCTATTTATCACTTTTGTTTCCTAGAATCATCTAGAGATCATAGTCACATCACAGTGGTGGCTCAAAACAGGTAAAATCGGGGCAATTTTAGTGCATTTCTATGTGGTCCTTTAGCCGTACTTGTTTTTTTTTTCTTTTTTCTTTTTTTTTAAGGAAGATTAGCCCTGAGCTAACTACTGCCAATCTCCTTTTTTTGCTGAGGAAGACTGGCCCTGAGCTAACATCCATGCCCATCTTCCTCTACTTTATATGTGGGACGCCTACCACAGCATGGCTTTTGCCAAGCCGTGCCATGCCTGCACCCGGGATCCGCACCAGCAAACCCTGGGCCACTGAGAAGCGGAACGTGCGAACTTAACCGCTGCACCACCCGGCCAGCCCCTAGCCATACTTGTTTTTTACCCTAAAGAAATAACTAAGGATATTCACAAAATGAATTGAATTGCTAAAATTGCCAAAAGGAGATTAACAATGACATTTATTTATGGAAATTTAATTCTACCCTGACTTCTTTGGAAGAAAAATTTTGAAGAAACTTATAGAAAAAGACAGACATTTTAGTAATATAGAAAGAAGATCATTTACAGTAACTTAATATCAGTAAAGCTGTATACAATACAATATTCAGATTGTGTTTGAGATTTCAATTAGAAGACTAAGAAGCCAAAGGCAATTGTCATTCATCAATTGTCATGCTCTGTGCTTTCATCTAATTTTATTTTTATAGCAAACCTAGGGCAAGGAGTGGGAAATATTATTGTGTTTATTTTTATAACTGTGGAATATAATCTTACCATTAGTGTAAGATCACACAATTCATAATTGTCAAGGTGGAGATCTGTTTGTTGCCAAAGCTCAAGTTCCTTCCCATGAGAAGACTGTGTACTTGTGCAGACCAAATGGCAAACCTGACTACCCTCCTGGGTAACTACTGGTTCCTAATGCAGAGCTGTCAATATCATTCCATTTTCCCCCATGAAGAATTACTCATACCGTACTTTGCCCTGTCGTGTCACATGGAGCAGAATCACAGGTGTACATCTACATTTCCCCCTGAAATTTGTGGTTGGGAACTCCTGGAATTTCTGCTCACTTCTCTTTCCCCTCTTGCCGTCCTTGCTGCCACTGCCAGCTAAGACCTTTCCAAGACCTGCAGAGACTCTTACAGCTGTTTCACTTTCTTCCTTCTCCACAGCCCTGCAGTGCCAGCTAAGCCAATTAAATTATAAGCACAAATGGAAGAAACTTCTCAAATAATGTTCTCTCTCCTCTTGGAAACTCTTCCCTCCTCACCACCAAGAAAAAAAGAAACATCTCACAAAGAATACTTTGAGTTTATTGGTCAGAATTCTTAGGATTTATCTGTTATCTCCAGATGTCTAATAGGTGCTCACTGAACTGTGTTCAATTGCTTCCTCACATTAACTCCTTTTCACCAAGTTAAAGTGTAAGGGACAAGAGGCTTGGGGACTTTCCTATTTTCCCATGGGACTCTTTTCTCTTGTCTTTCTCCTAATCAATGTGCTGCTTCCCAAGGACTGGCATACCTAGCTGGTCTAAAGCTACACTCTCCCTCCCTCCCTTTGTGTACTCAACACATTTGTTAAGCACCTAGTAGTGTCAGGCACTGTGTTAAGTGCTGGGCGTACAACAAATCTCACTTAGTTTCTGCCCTCATGGAGCTTGAAGTCTATTCTAAACAGACATTAGTCAAATAATGACAAGCAAATGTAAAGGTGAAGTTTGAAAACTGCTGAGAGGAAAGTTCAAGGGCTATGGGTGTATATGCAGAGGGGAGCTTAGTCTAGTGTCAGGATTGCTGTGGCCACAGAAGGCCTCCTGGAGGAAGCGGCTATTCAGCTGGCATACACTTTTCAAGAATTTGTTAATAATAAGCAATAAAGACCTTTGCAGTTTTCTTTCCTTTTACCAGTTTTAACTAGGCACCTTGTGCACATCTGGTGTATTTTTATTATAGTGCATTTCAGTTTTACCAGTCACCTTTCATACCATACGTTTGAATTCTCTGAGGACAGGGGCTCTGTTGGTTATCCTTGCACTCCCTGTGTCAGCCTGTCTCATTATGCTCCTCTTAGGCTGCATGGGAACGGGTTGCTATGGTTGGATGAGAATTCTACCATGAAGTCTTGAAGCTTTCTCAAATCCACTTTTGTGGATTTTGTTGATTTTTTTCAAAACAAGCATTGGCCTTTTTTGGTATTTAGTTTTATTATTTTCTTTTATTTGTTTGTTTTAACAAGCGTTTTGTTTACCTCAAAAATTTATTTCCTTGATTTGCCTGCATTCATCTCAGGCCTCTTCAGAGTTCCATGCTCTGCATATTTTTGGTGTTTCCAAATGAATATGAATGTGTCGCCCTTGTTTTTAGTTTGGTCCTTGCATCACAAAGTAAGCAACAGTAATTCTCCCAAAACAAAGCTTGTCGGCAAGGTAACAGGGCCACGTATTAAATCCCTATGAGGACAGAGTGGTTTTCTCACATTCTCTCAGAGTGCCCATTCTTTCCTGACTTTGGCATGTACACTGACCTCATCTATGGCAGTGGACTCTGTGAGGTTTGGCCCCAAACGTTGTTTAATAATATTGTTTTTGTGCTTTATGGAGGCCCAAAATTAGAAATAACACCATTCAGCTTGTTGATAGGTGTGACAGAGCAATCCTCTTGCTACTGTTTGTTCCAACTGTTGTTATGTTATTATTATATGTTTAAAGTTGTGCCACTCCCTGTTTGGGGGGGTGCGTCTCAAGTGAAGAGTGAGATCATTCATTGTATTCATCACCACAGTCTTTCCAATCTTCAGGGAGTGGTATGATCCTTAGACCAGAAAGATGGATGGGATGGGGAGGTCTTTTCTTGGTGTAGAGATAGATCCTTTTATTGGCTTGAAGGAAATGGGTCAGAGTGCCCCATGGTCTGCCTTTGTCAGTGGGAAGGAAGATATCAAAGCAAAGACTGGTAGTGGGTACAGAAGGCATCCAGGAGAGTTGTGGTGGATTTGAACTAGCCCTCTGGGCTAGACTATAGTTTGATTTCAAGCAAACTTAGAATTTTGCAAAAGCAGTGCTCCCAGTGTGAGCTTAAAAGCTTTTCAGTACTTAACATTTCTTTCTCATGAGATCAATGATGATATTAACAAGTAAGATGTTTTGTATCATATAACAATATGTGACAACATTTGGAAGATCTGCATAACTCAATTAAGTGATATTTTCCAAATAAGCAATGCATGATGACACTAAATCCATTAAAAGTATAAGATAGATCAATATTGGATTTTAATATTACAAAGTATAGGAAGCTCATTGAAATGGCTTCAAATTCCATAAGGCAAAAACCGTTAAGAAACTATTACTTGAGGGAGTGACATCAGCATCATGGCAGAATGAGTTCTTCGCTTAGACTATCCTCCCTAAGGTACAAAGAAAAGACACTGATAAACCAACAGAGGACATTCACACAATACAGTAGACATCTGAGAGATCCATGCAGTCATTCGTCTGAAGGTGGAGGTGCTGAACCCCCCCAGGAGGTAGTGGAAAGAGGTAAGGGGATCTCCTCTTCCTCCCTGAATGGCAGCAATCTAGGGCATGGGAATGCATGTGGCTCTGAGAGGAGAGGGTGGAAAGGGAAGCCCTCCACGGGAACGCCTTGGCTCTCAGATTTGCATTCCAGCCCATGGGAATGCTCAATGCCAAGGAGGCTAAGCAATTGTGGGGATGTCTTCACCAAACTGACCAGCCCAAGATGGCAGATAGCAAGTTCAGAGTGGGAGCATCTCCGGGATCTCAAATGCAAAAGAAAGCACCCCTCCCCCAACATGGTACACCAGCTCGGCTGGTCAGTCAGAGCAAGGGACCCCTGCCAGAGCACCTGCACACCTACATGTGTAAAGCAGCAGCAGCCAGCAGGCAAACACAGACAGACCCTGTCAGCACAGCTTCCAAAGGACAGGCACGGCTGCTGGGATCGCAGTGGCTCAGAATGCACAGCTCCTGCCCACCCCCTGCCATGGTGGCAGGTGGAATCTGCAACCAGATACTACCACTGTACGATGGCACAAACCTACTACATCAAATAGTATGAAGAAGTATATCAACCCTCCAGACCAGAAGGAAAATGACAAGTACCCAGAAATCAATCCTGAAGTCACAGAAATTTGCAATCTAAATGACAGAGAATTCAAAATAGCTATCATAAAAAAGCTCAATGAGTTATAAGAAAACTCAGAAAGACAGTTCAATTAAATCAGGAATAAAATTAATGAACAGAGAGATTTCTTCACAAAAGATACTGAAACTATAAAGAAAAACCAATCAGAAATGTTGGAGATGAATGAGATGAAGAAAAATCTGGAGTCCTTAAGTAACAGAGCTGATATTATGGAGAACAGAATTAGCAATTCAGAGGATAGAAATATAGAAATGCTTCAGATGGAGGATGATAGAGAATTAGGACTAAAAAGAAATGAAGAAATTCTCTGAGAAATATCTGACTCAATTAGGAAATGTAACATAAGGATTATAGGTATTCCAGAGGAAGAAGTGAGGGAGAAAGGAACAGAAAGCTTGTTTAAAGAAATAATAGCCAAGAACTTCCCAAACCTGGAGAAGGGGCTGGAATTACAACTAAAGGAAGCTAATAGAATTCCTAATTATTTGAATGTAAAAAGACTTTATCCAAGGCATATATTAGTAAAACTGGCAAAAGTCAATGACAAAGAAAAATATTAAGGGCAGCAAGGCAGAAGAAAATAACCTACAAAGGAAACCCTGTCAGGTTTTCAGCAGATTTCTTAGCAGAAACCTTACAGGCTAGGAGAGAGTGGAATGAGATATTCAAAATTCTGAAAGATGAAAACTTTCAGCCAAGACTACTCTATCCAGCAAAAAATATCCTTCAGATGTAATGGATAAAGAAAAATATTCGAAGATAAACAGCAGCTGAGGGAGTTCATCAACATAAGACCCTGCTACAAGAAATGATCAAGAAGGCCCTCATACCTGGAAAAACAAAGAAAGGATTTACAAAAGCTTGAGCAAGGAGATAAA